GAAGGTCTATACTAAGTAGTTCCAGCGTTGACCGCTCGATAGCGCCGCTTACCCGCGCTAGAAAAATCAGTCCGGGAACTTTCCGGACAAACTGTGTATCTCAAGTTACGCAATAGTAACAAAGCGGATCCGACTCGGATAAATATTACCGCGACCGTCTTTCTATCTCTCTGTTTGTGTGTGTCATTATTATCTTGTAAGAAAATAAAAACCGAATGTGAAAGCTTCGGAGCGAAATATTCGATATTAACTGATTACTTGCCGAAGAAATTCGAAAGATTGATATTCGTAAAATTCAAAAAGACCGTCAAGGCAAGGAGAAACTGCGCAAGAGAAAACGGAATATATCAGCTGCAAACACGCGGCGGAATTTCCAGAAGAGACTCCCCTCGGAACACGGATAATCACGTGCCGTTGCATCTTGATGGCCCACTTCACTCTGTGGCGCACTCTGCAAACTCGAACGTATCATTGGAGATCCGCCGATAGATCACGTCCGTGAAACAAGAAACGATCGGCGAGCATCAAAGAAAAGGGAAGGAGAAAGAGCGAGAGACAAAAGAAAGAAATATCGAGGAAAAGATCGGGGAAAGATTTATCTTCTCATCGAAAGTTCTGGATGGATATTCGGAAACCCTATCGATTGCACGGTCAGGAAGAAACGACGTAAAAAATATTTTTTTGCTACAAAAACGTGTGTTAGGTGCACGCGCACGCAAAAACACCGCGCGTTTCTGAAGCAAACTTGCGAAAGGCGATTTTCTTTCCGTTTGTATTGTTCGACTTATGTGAAGACTTATTGCTCAATATGTTACTCGACGTTGCAACACAATTATCTGAAGATTCTCGGATTTTTCTTATAGAAAAAGAATTTAATAATAATAATACAAAACTCTCTAGGTTTCTTCAAATAGTCTATTTTTTGTTATATTGCCATTAATATTCTTTGTTGTATTGTAATTAACACGATCAAAATGCATGCGTCAGAACGAAGCATTAATGTAATTTATTTATTTATGTTCTTTACGACACAGAAAACAAAAGTAAACGGACGCGATTATCTCAAAGCTTAGCATTATCTAAGTTACGCGAACCACAACCCATGTAAAACTCTCCCGGTTCTATCTAATTTCCATACTTTCTTTCTCGAAAGTATCCGTTAAATTCACCCCCGCGCTACAGAGGTACTCTCGCTCGCCGCTACCTTCTATTTTTCTCGCGGCATTGTCGGAATTCCTTGCGTCTGAAAGATGGCTCGACCGCTCCAAGATGCATGCGTCGCATTACACGGGGCAATATTTTAGAGCTCGCCCTTCGTCCTGACCCTTGAGCCGGCACAAAGCGCGCGGCTCACGAGTAGCAATTCCGAACTTGCGCGAAACAATTGGGTCGACCGAGCGCTCGCAACGAGAAATCGGCGAAGGCGCGATGACACGAAAGTTCGGGACACTTTCGATGTGCGCGTAAAAAATAAAAAAACAAGAAAATCAATGAAGCTCAAAAACGCTTAAAAGCGTAAGACGCTTTTGCGGATATAAAAATCTCACTCGAGATGACGGGAAAGAGTAATGGTCCCTTCAAGAAAGCAAAGTATACTTTATGGGGAAAAATTGCAGCAATAAAAAGAAGAGTATTCGGATTTAAAGTGTACTAAAAACAGCGACAAAGATAAAGCTGCGTCGCGATTTTTTTCGTAAATACTTGCGTCATCTCTAAGCAAAATGAAGAAGAAAAGAAATTGTTTATTCTAAAAAAAATTACTTTTTTTCTTTGCGACGCAAGTTTTGTCGATTGATGAGAAAAAGGGAGGAAATTAGCAAAGGGATATTGTCAGAAAAAGAAAGACACGTGGAAAAAGAGAGTCAGCGTATGTCTGTAATACGAAACGGAATTCCCAATGTGAACGCAGAGGACCACGTGCAATCCCACGGTTGATTGCACAAGTTTTACAAGTTCACCAGATATCGCGGTGTCGCAATATCGCGAAAATAGAATCCATCGATGGGCGACTCTCATTTTCGTCGGCGTCATAGGAAGAGAAGAGAAAAGACGGAGTCGATAGTCGTAGGCAATGGCAAGAAGTTATCGTTATCGTTCGTGGGATGTATCAGTAAAACTTGGCTGCCAGACAGTTTCGAGTTCTCCGGATAGAACGAGCCTGTCAGACGCTTCGGAAAATTTAATTCAGAACCTGACTCCTTTCCTTTTCCCTTCCTCTCCCCACCGCATTCTCTGTCCGATCGAAAATCTCATTTTTGGATACGTGGTCGGACCGGCAAAAACCCTTAAATCAAGACGTTTCGCCTGCCCTCCCGTTCTACAATTTGTGCTGTTCACTTTTTCTCGTTCGATGCTTTCTATTTATCCTCCTGATTCGTCCCATCAATATCGGCTCGTTGTAATAGATAGTTTGCGAAGCTTGCCACTATCGTAATTGAATAAACGTATAGATGCTTGAAAAATTAAC